AAAACTGAGGGCAGAATCTGGAAAATATGAAAGCCAAAACAGGGCAGAATCTGGAAAATATAAAAGCCAAAACAGGGCAGAATCTGGAAAATGAAAGCCAAAACTGAGGGCAGAATCTGGAAAATATAAAAGTCAAAACAGCAAAATCTGGAAAATATGAAAGCAAAAACTGAGGGCAAAATCCAGAAAATATTAAAGCCAGAAGTGAGGGCAGAATCTGGAAAATATGAAAGCCAAAACTGAGGACAGAATCTGGAAAATGTGAAAGGCAGAGCTGAGGGCAAAATCTGGAAAATATGAAAGCCAAAACTGAGGACAGAATCTGGAAAATATAAAAGCCAAAATTGGAGGCAGAATCTGGAAAATATAAAAGCCAAAACTGAGGGCAAAATCTGGGAAATATAAAAGCCAAAACAGGGCAGAATCTGGAAAATTAAAGGCAGAAGTGAGGGCAGAATCTGGAAAATATAAAAGCCAAAACTGAGGGCAGAATCTGGAAAACATAAAAGTCAAAATGGCAAAATCTGGAAAATGTGAAAGGCAAAACTGGAGGCAGAATCTGGAAAATATAAAAGCCAAAACTGAGGGCAGAATCTGGAAAATATGAAAGCCAAAACAGGGCAGAATCTGGAAAATATAAAAGCCAAAACTGGGCAGAATCTGGAAAATGAAAGGCAAAACTGAGGGCAAAATCTGGAAAATATAAAAGCCAAAACTGAGGGCAGAATCTGGGAAAATATAAAAGTCAAAACGGCAAAATCTGGAAAATATGAAAGCAAAAACTGAGGGCAAAATCCAGAAAATATTAAAGCCAGAAGTGAGGGCAGAATGTGGAAATATGAAAGCCGAAACTGAGGACAGAATCTGGAAAATGTGAAAGGCAGAACTGAGGGCAGAATCTGGAAAATATGAAAGCCAAAACTGAGGGCAGAATCTGAAAACTGTGAAAGGCAAAAGGGCCCAGGCTGGGCAGTGACCCCGCTCTGTCGCAGGCCGCATTTCGGTGCCGCTGGACCTGCAGAGTCTGGACCAGTTTGACCCGTTTGCCGTCCCCACCATCACGTACGTGAGCTGGCAGCACCGGGGGGGGGTCCTGGTGGTGCCAGAGCCCCCCCAGCTCATCCCGTTTGTCCGGCAGATCCCTGTGCCAGGAGCTGGACACGGCCGGCAGCGACGGGGAGCAGGAGGAGGTCGGGGAGACGGAGCCGAAACGCCGAGCGAGGGGTGAGAGGGGCAGGGGTTTGGGGTCAGGGATGGGGTTTGGGGTCAGGGCCAGGGTTTGGGGTTCAAGGCTGTGGTTTTGGGGTTTAGGGTTTGGGTTTGGGGGGTTAGGATCAGGGTTTGGGGTGTCAGGGTTGGGGTCTTGAGCTCAGGGTTGGAGTTTTGGGGTCCCCAGCACCCACTCCTGCTCCTGCCCACTCCCCAAATCCTCCAGACTATAGGAAGACAAGCCTGGCCCCTTACGTGAGGGTCTTCGAGCAGTTCGTGGAGGGGATGGAAAGCGCCCGGCGGGGAGAGCGGATCCGTCGGAGCGGTGAGTGTCCCCAGAACGGACCCCAAGTGGGGCCTTCTGGCTCTGATAATGGATATAGGGGTCCCCTGTTGGATTTGGGGGTCTCCCATTGGATTTGGGGTCTGTCCTTTTGGATTTGGGGGTCTTTCATTGAATTTTGGGTTGGATTTGGGAGTCTCCCATTGGATTTGGGGTCTGTCCCACTGCATCTGGGACCACAAGGGTTGGTGACAGAGAGGGGACACAAGGAGGGAGCTGAGTGATGGCTGTTGCTGTGACAGCTTTCCTTTGTCTGGAAAAAACCTTCCCATTTCTCCTCTTTTCAGATCTGCAAGGAGATTTCTGAGGCCTTGACGCTGAGGGATCCACTGCCAGTGTCACGTCTTGTCATTGTCACCTCTGCTGGCCATGGGGATCCCGGTGCCTCGGAGCAGCCAAACCTCACGGCCTCCCTGCCCCTTCCCCAGTTTTTGTACTTTTTGTACTGTTTTCTACGCAAATACCATTAAATGTTTCTGGTCACCCGTGTGCTGTGACCGGGATGGGCTGAGGGGGGTGAGGGTCCCCTCCCTGTGGGGAGGAGCTGGGGAAAGGGGTCCTTGCTCTGTGGTGTGGGGTCACTGCCCTGGACACTGTCATGACCCCCTAACCCTGCCTGGGCCCCCTAACCCTGCTTGGACCCCTGCCCTGACCC